TGCTCTAACTTGTAATATTTCTGAAATACATATGCATTAAAACGATTCATCAACATACGGTTCATTAACATATCTGCGTATATGACAAAGGTAACCATAAGGAATGCAAAACGCAAGATATTATTTTTGCAAAAAACCGAAAAAAAAATAAAATTCCCTCAGCTATCACTCCATCTTTCCCTCCCTCCATCTCTGAGAAGTCGGAAGTATCCAGAATAGTGGCATGCGCGAACAACAATTATGCTAGTAAGGCTATCAAGCGATAGCCACCTCACTTCAAAATTGCTTTGAAGTAAGCTAACAGTGGGCTTGTCTGCTCGGCATCAATCAATACCAATTTACCATCGAAACGAATGAGGGAACTGCTGAGGAAAGGATTTTTTTTTTTTGAATCCTCGATAACTCCTATTACAACAAAATTAAACCTGCGACTGAACATTCAATGCCTGCTAACAACATATCGCGAATAATTTTTACTGAATATTCGGAATTTTGCCATTATGAATGGAAAGACGATCCACATGAAAGTCTATGCGGGGCGAGGGAGGAAGTTATGTAAAGCGCGAAGCTTAGAATCGGAAAGAAATAAGCAGACGTGTTGCCAGCTGTTGCATCACTGACTAAGCACAGAATACAAAAAAAAAACATTATCTGAGGTGTAAACTTTTTTGTGCGTTTTTCAAGTTTTCTGGTACCGAATTAAGGAAGTTCGATAATTCATATTTTTGTCGCAAACGCTGCACTTGTTTTCTTACCAACATGTATTCGCATGTGTCTAGACAAATGTGCTTGCTGCTCGAAGCTCGAATTGCAGTGATCGCATTTGAACGGCTTCTCACCGGTATGAATTCGCATGTGTGTTCGCAAGTTTGTTTTGCGGCTGAATCTCGAATTGCAGTGTTCGCACTTGAACGGCTTCTCATCAGTATGAGCTTGCATGTGCATTTGTAAGTGTGCTTTTCGGCCGAAGCTCGAATTGCAGTGAGCGCATTTGAACGGCTTCTCACCGGTATGAATTCGCATGTGTGTTCGCAAGTTTTTTTTCTGGCTGAAGCTCGAGTTGCATTGACTGCATTTGAACGACTTCTCACCAGTATGAGCTTGCATGTGCATTTGTAAGTGTGCTTTTCGGCTGAAGCTCGAATTGCAGAGACCGCATTCGAACGGCTTCTCACCAGTATGAATTCTTATGTGTGTTCGCAAGTTTGTTTTCCGGCTGAATTTCGAGTTGCAGTGACCGCACTTGAATGACTTCTCACCAGTATGAGTTTGCATGTGCATTTTTAAGTGTGCTTTTCGGCCGAAGCTCGAGTTGCATCGACCACATTCGAACGGCTTCTCACCGGTATGAATTCGCATGTGTATTCGCAAACTTGTTTTCCGACTGAATCTGGAGTTGCAACAACCGCATTTGAACGGCTTCTCACCGGTATGAATTCTGCAGTGCACCCGTAAATTTTCCAATGTTCCGAATCTCTTACTGCATTGTATGCAGTTGTATGGCTTCTCACCAGTGTGCTTTCTTAAGTGGATCTTCAGTCGCGAAGTGGCAAAAAAGGTTTTACCGCAGTAACTGCATTTGAGTGAGCATCTATCACTATCAGTTCCATTTTGGCTGTGACCGGCATATTCAGTGCTTCTGCATACAGTAGCCGCTGTCGCCCAATGTTCTTCCGCAAGCGGACGATGGCTATCAGTGCAATTGACTGTTTCGTCCTGTGTCTGATTCTTCAACTCGATTGGGCTCGCAAGCTGCAAAGTCGTTGAGAAGCAGTCCTCGTTTTTTATTAAAGCCAAACAGTAATCTGAAGATGAATTTAATTTGCTCCCCTTTTACTCGAAAAAGGGCTTTGCAATTCAAATCTTTTGGCAGAGATTTTTATCCAGTGCTAATTCATACTGCCCTTATTTTCGATTTTATTTCTTTCATAGTATGCGCGCATGGCGCAATAAGGAATACCACATCTATCGTGTTGAAGATCGAGATTTCGATTCTCTCAGTGAGGTAATCAACCTCCCCTCCCTACGATTCACACGTTCGCTCTGGTGTTAATTGGTGCCGGATTGTCCGGAAATCAAACCTGCCACTAGTTTCATTCGAAACAGCCCGGGAATTCTCGACAGCCTTGAAGTACTTCCATCGACAGAAGTACTTCCAGATGTTTCTGACTTTCATAGAAAGTGCATACGGAGAAACGCTTGCTTACTATTACTGTTATTATTATTATTGCACATTATTATTATTTATTTTATTACTTCCACCCCCTTGTTTTCTACTTTTAAATGTCAGACATCCTTCCTCTAACCGTTTATGCATCTTTCGGGGGAACTTGGATAAATTTCAAAATTAGGATGTATGATTGGAGGCTCCCGACCTGATCTTGTTCAAGTTTTTTCATTTTTACTGTGCTTATGCAGTAGTAAGCGGGAACTAGAAGCAAGTTGACTCGGAGAACTAGTGAATTTCTAACATCAAATACTCTCGAAACACTCACGCTGTCGTAGAAAGGCATTATGCTTGAACCATGTCGCGAACTAGTTTTATAGAGATTCACGAGCTGCAATTCTGGAAAATACTTTTTGCCGAAAACCAGTCTGTAGCAAAAGATGAACAGAATAACCCATTCAGGTCTGGCAGATGCCACTGCTGTGGCAAGCCAGTGCTGACGATTTCTTCGTCCAAATTTATTTAAAAAGCTTTAAAAAATTACCGAGCCTTTGGCAACCATTGACAACATTTGCATCAGTACGATGGGCGTCAAAAACACCGTCATCTTTGAGGAGCAGCACCGAGTTATCCAATAAGCTGGACCAGTTCTTCCCTTCGTATCCTTCTTAGCGGAAGCACGAGACGTTTTTTTGTTACCATTCACTTCAGCAGCACGCCGCTCTTCTAGTACCTCAATTCACAGATATTAAATTTAGCGAAGGTATTCCAGATCCGCCCTTAACTAATGAACGAAAGGTAGACCTTTTATATACGGCAAAGTCAGTGTCAAGGGAGTTATGTCTCCCCATCATACAGTCTGATTCAGCAGTAGTGGTGGCACATCTAGCTGCTATGCAAAGAGGATGTACCGGGCAATGACGAAGTCGGAGGAATTGAAAGAGAAAGAGCACATACCGAGGGAAAAGTCTAACTTTTTTGAATAAAAAACATTTTTAATATACCATTGGTATTCCCGTACAGCATGGAAAAGGTGGTTTGAGCATGTAGAGCAACAGATGATAAGCCTCATTTACAACTGTCGGGGCACGGTCCTCATCGCAAGCGTTTTCCTCCATCGAATGAAGGGGATGACACATGAGTTTAAAGCCGAAATTCCGACAAACTCTCAAGCACAAACGCTCCTGTTGATTCCGACATGGCATAATCCCCGATGCTATTCTCCGTTCTATGCTAATTAGGTTTCCTCTCGATTTTCTGTTGAAAACGGACGTAAAATTACAGATATTAATCCTGATATATATATATATATATATACATGTATATACATATGTATATATATATATGTATGAAGAAGCATATATATATGAAAT